ATCGAGAAAGTCTGGTTTGCCATTAATACTAAATTGTGACTTCAATATTCTTTGAGCGCCCCATACATGTGGTCTTGTACCAAACTAAAGTAAGCTTAATAAATGACAACATCTACTAAATTCAGGTACCTCGGCCTGTGATCATGATTAGAGAGCGAGTGTGAGAGAATTTTGTTTAGGGCTGAATAGAGTGTTCGATGCATATTACGTACGCCAGACTTATGTCTTTTGCCAAACATAACTAAGTCGAGTAACTGACAAAATTTTAATGAATATAAATATGACATTGCCTGTATCCTCGTAAAGTGCGTGAAATACAATATATATTGGACGATTTCTTCAAAGATGAAGAAGAGACTCGAGGCGACAGATATGGTTCTACAGAAGAATGCTAAGGATATTATGAACCGAGCGTGTGAGCAATAATGAGATCTTAGAGAGGTTGGAAACAAGAAGGAAGCTTATACTTAAGGCAGCTGAAGTTTCTGTGACACATAATGAGGAAGGAAGGCCTGGAGAATCTGATACTCACGGGTCGAATAGAGGGAAAGAGAGACAAGTGAAAACAACGAGTGGCATACCTGTCGGACTTAAACAAGTGGATGACAGAACGTGGTCTAGGGGTGGAAGCGGAGGAAAGGAACTTGTTGAGAGCTCCAAGGGATAGAGGGGAGGTGGAGTGCCATGATCGCCTACGTCCTAAAAGGACATAGCAGATAAAAAGAAAGATTTTCTCACACACACACGGACACACACACACACATACACAGACATCTTTCATCTATGATATTCGATGACGTATCAACTTAACTAGGATAAGAATTTGAACTTAACCCAGATATGGGGTGTAGAGTGTCCATTACATTTTACAGGTCATGTCAAGTGTAAAGTTAAAAGATATTATTTTATTTGAAGAAAGCCCCCCAAAAACCAAAAAAACTGAGCCCTACAAAATGAAATAATGCAAAAAGCGAAATTACATACATACAAACATGCATCTATCTATCTATCTATCTATCTATCTATCTATCTATATATATATATATATATATATATATATATATAACAGCAATCGGCGACAGACGGTTTCATGATTCAAAGAAATCTTCAGGCCACGAAGTTGGATAGCCTAAAATTTGCAATCAAGACTGAAAAAAAAAATCTGTTGCCGGTGTTGATCTAAGTGTTCACTTTTATGTTTACATACGCTCTATCTTAAATACTAAACAATTTCGCCTAAAATATAGTATACCTTAAAACTATATTTTTACCACACACACACACACAGACTTGCACACACAAAAATATATATATATATATATATATATATATATATTAGGAATCGATTAATGGATTTATTTTTAATCCGAGATTTTTATTAGTTTTATCGTTATTTCTTTTAATTTTGATGAATATAAAATATCACACACTGTGTGCTTGTGTTAATAAAATAGTGCTCGATGTACAATAACAGAACTATAATTTATATTAATAATAAATATACATTTTTTCCTCACAACTGAAATCATAATAGGTAGGTGGCGACGCCCACATACACACACACATATATATATATATATATATATATATATATATATATATATATATATATATACTCTCCATGTAAGGTATGAAAATAGGCATAAATGAAAAGTGCTCTATATACGTTGCGACAGAACTGAAATAGTTTTCTTTTATTATAAATGGGGTTTTATGGCCGATCAAACTAACATTTGTAATAATAGAACACACACACATAAATATATGTGTGTGCGTGTGTGTGAGTGTTGCGTGTGTGTGTGAGTGTTGCTTGTGTGTGTGTGTGTGTTCCGTTATGCGTGTTTTGTTTGTGTCTGTGTGTTTTGTGTCAGAAATGAACGTAATATCCTAAGATGAATGAATAGCTCCTTCAAAAATCGTCCTTGAATGTCTTTCAATGATATATATATATATATATATATATATATACATACGCAATATCTTTTTTTGCTGGATAGAGATGTGCTAACTAGTGCTAAATTCAAAATATCAGCCAAAATTCCATTCCATAAGTAAAGCAAAAATTGAAAGAAAGATTGAACCCCTTCAGACAGTTGGATTAAATTTCTTACGAAAGACACTGGACGCAATTCTCACGAAGAGAGATCGTTAACCAAGTACCTGCATGATCCCACTGCTCATCAAATAAAGGCAGAGAATTGCTGTACACGTGGATGTCATTTCAAAATATACTTTTAAAAACAGGAAGAAAAAAGAAAGGCAAAAATATATATATATGTATGTTGGGTTTGAATTACCTACCCTCGGGTGTATCCATTCGGTAACTACATTGGGTCGACTGGCGCGAAATTCCGTCGTTATTAACTTTGTTTTTGTTTAGTCGTTTCCGGATGATGCTTGTAACAATGTAGCCAAACCTCCATCTCCGATTGAGTACAACTATAATAACGACCAATCCGACAAGTAACAAGAGGCCGACCACGGTGACAGCCGTCGTAGTATGCTGATTCTCCTGGGTCTGACCCTTAAATGGGGGCACGCAGTATTTGTGATAAAGACGCCAACAACTAGTGTTTCGAAGTTGGTTGGCCAAAGTCTGATTAAACCAGTGAGGGATGTCGGGAGGTTTCATCCGGCAATAGGCGGGTACAGTGTTCACTTTTACCACCTCTGTCACAGCCTCGCAGGTTGATTTCATCGACATTGTTTGACGAAACCTGCCCAAGATATTCGTTTCGTTTGCTGCGTCGATTATGACAAGATCTGTTAGATTTTAATAGGTTTTTAATCCATTAATTTTTTAAAGTATTTTTAATCCGATTTTAAAGGCTTTAATTTTTTTTTTCTTTTTCTCTCTTTACAGATATATGTGTGTGATAGTGTGTGTGTTGCCTGTACGTATAGATACAGATATACAGAAACAGATATTTAGAGATATAGATAGATTTATCTTCCAATAATTCTAATCTTTGTGTAAATGTGTATATTTTTGTGAATGTGCCTATTTGTTTAAATGTGTGTATTTTGTCAATACCTGTTTCCTTGTTTTAATTAACGATTTTATTTATTTAAAAAAAAACAAACAAACAAAAAAAAAACACTGTACGTATATCATTACTTATGAATACGTAAACCGTATTCTTTTAACATTTACAGAACTTGAAAAACAATAATTTTCTGATGGGTGTGGGGACTGAAAACTGATCAGTTTTTGGAGTTGCAAATTAAATAAACAAAAAAAAAAAAAAAAAAAAAAGAAAAAAAAAAAAAGATGGTCAGCAAGCTAAAAATGTTTTCAATGAACGAGAAACAAAAACAAAACAAAACAAAATTATCTTATTTACTAAAATAAATAAATAAATAAATAAATGCAGTGAAAATTAAATTTTGATAAATTAAGATTTTCTTTATCCTGTTTTCTGCCAAGAAATATTTTCTTTTAAATCTACATAAAAACTCAGCGTAGAGGTTTTAAAGCAATACTAATTTTACTCCCATCAACTAATATTAAAACACTTGTTGACATATCAGAATCTTGATAACAGGAAAATCAGAATTCTTCCAGAGAATGAACACATCTAACAACTCTACCCTCCCATGTGTTCACTGAGATCGCTAACAAACTTTCATTGATTCGTACAATGCTGTGTTCAAACTTTTGCAGCTGATTTCAAATTTCAATATAGTTCTATTCTACATTTTTAAAAATCCGTTTCTTTTGGTGGATATGCCTAGCTAATTAATCGATCTGTTGAATATGATTAGATTGTATTATTAACATTGCAGATTTACGCTTTCTAATTTACACATTTTATTATAAACGATGAATTGACAGAGGTTTCATTATCCAAGTATTAAATCCAAGAAACGTGTGTTTACAAATAATAAAGCGTTCCTAGTTGTGCCAAAGTCTTTTTTTCTTTTTCTTCTTTTTTTTCTTCCTTTTTTTTAATAACCAATTAAAATCATTAATTTACGGTGACGACAGAAGCGCTTTTTGGGAACATTGTTGAATCTGAGATGAATGTTACTCTTATTGCTTATTTGTCAGGTATTATTCTGTTGTGTAGCTCTAAAATGTATGTGTGCGTTTGTGTGTGATTTTGTGTGTGTACTTTTTTTCTTTTTTTTTTCTAAAGCAATATATGTGTTTGATTTTTTAATTATTCAAAAAAAAAAATCAAATTTTAAAATAAAAAAAGGACTTGGAGTGAACCAGATTTTAGGAAAAATCCCCTTTTCCTTATTTTTCTAGTCTTGAAATTTTATTTTTTTTTATTACTATTTAAATTATTTTTCACAACAAAAATAATTCTATTACATTCATTGGGTTACTAAAAAAATTGTAAATAGAAAAAATACAACTAACAATAAATAAAGAAAATATATTTCCAAAATTTTCTGGTAATATCCTAATAGTATTTTTTTTCAACTTAAAATATATTAAATTAAATTAAAAGCCATTCGCATTATTTATACCTGTTGTATTTTCGGTGAATTTATTATTATTATTATTATTATTTGATAACTTCTCCTACTCTTAGATACACTAGTACTATTATTGTACTTATTGGTTTGCTATTCACACTTTTATTATCTCATCTGTATCAATACGATCATTTTTTCCGCGCTGTGAAAACATTCATGTGCAAGGCGGTATCGTTTTGTTTACGTATATAGAGTATCACTTTGCCAAAGTTTTATCTCACTCTGACACGCCGGTCGAAAAATAAGTGTGTAATGGCCTCGTCCTGTCAGATTGCTTGATGGTGCTGACATCAAAACACAGAGGAGTGATGTTTCTGTCAACTGTAGACCGGCCTCGTCTGTTTTAATGAGTTACCGCTTGTGTACTGCTGGGATTTTAAGCGTGCATTGGCTGTTGACGCGAGAAATTGCGTCATTTCTGGACTATCCATGACAACGGACGCAACGTCATCCCTACCGATTAAACGTGTTAATTTTTTGTAACCCCCTCCTTTTGCATGTATTTATTGTTCTGTCCTTGTTATTTTATTGTAGATAGATAATGGAGGGGGAATTATAATAGTCGACACGGTTACAATAAGAGAAAGAAAAAGTTCAAAGGAGAAAGACGAAGTTGGGCCCTTTCTTTTAAGTCTTACATACAATCATACAGTCTTTTTTTTATAGTTTTAAAAGCCTACGTAAAATTGAGAAGTTTTCGAACGAATTCTTGTTTCTTAAACTCGTATTGTTTTTTGTTTTTTTTTACTGAAACACATAGAGCCCTAACAATTACATCGACAGCAAGAGATGTAAGTGAGGATGTGATTGATGCTTGTGTGAACGATTAAATTTTACTAATTATTTCCAACGCTAGGTACAATTGAGACTTTTTTTTTCTGAAAGCACGTGTTTCGCTGTTTTTGTGAGAAAACAATGTTCGTTTTCCTCGTCCTGCGCTATTAGAAAACTAGTTGTAACTGAAAAAAAAAGTCTTTTGTATTGCCGAAACATTGTATTGCCGCAAGCAAGTCGACTGAACACCAAAAATATAATAATATCTCATCCTCATTTGCCATAAAAATAAAAAAATAAATAAATAGAAAGCAATGCTCGCCTGAAAAGAAACTCTTCTTTCTTACGGTGAGTCTTTCAGTTCTTACGTTCTCATAGAAAAGAATCAAGCCTTATCTATCTATCTATCTATCTATCTATCTATCTATCTATCTATCTATCTATCTATCTTATCTATCTATCTATCTATCTATCTTATCTATCTATCTATCTAGCAAGTCTTATCTATCTATCTATCTAGCAAGTCTATCCTATCTATCTGTCTATCTAGCAAGTCTATCCTATCTATCTATCTGTCTATCTAGCAAATTTATATATCTATCTAGCAAGTCTATCTATCTATCTATCTATCTAGAAAGTCTAGCAAGTCTATCTTTCTATCTACCTACCTACCCATTTACCTTAGTCTGTTTCTATTTATCTATCTATCCATCTATCACCCTACCTACCTACCTACCTACCTACTTCAGTCTTTATCTATCTATCTATCTATCTATCTATCTATCTATCTATCTATCTATCCTTTTTGTTTTACTAAATCGATCAAATCACCCGGCTTGTAAAATTATATATCTTTTGAGCTGAATACAGTCGAATAATTTCTTGCAAATACACGTATCGATCTGTCTATATACTACCTACATCATAAAACACCTTCCATAAATTGTCCACTCAAGCCACCAACACACATGTGAACCTCCGGATATTTTTGTCGTTGTTGTTGTTATTCTACCTATAATGCAAAATATATATTAGCTTTCCTCAATGTACGTGTGTGCGAGTTTCCTTCTGTGTGCTCTCGCACGTGTATGTATGAGAGAGTCGCTTCAGGTCGTCACGTAACGTTGTACATATACTGGTAAAATCCAAATTTATATATATATATATATATATATATATAAATATAAATATAAAATTTCAAGTAATCCACAGCACTTGACTCAGGAGAAAGGTGTAGTAAATATTCCTTGTTCTTCTGGAGAAATCATCTGACATTAACGAATTAGCCATCCACGGACGCATATGTATTTAGTGTGTGTGTGCGTGCGTGTGTGTGTGGGGGGGTGATAAACAAAGAAAAAGTAAAGCAAGCATTCGGTCGTATTTTTGCAATCGTGTTTTCTCTGTAGATTTAATCCGAATACAAATCTTACAGATTAGTGACCTTTGTCTTATTGTAAGAGTCTACTCCTGGTCAAATTTAAAGAGATAAGAGTAAGACACACCTATTTTTTAATGCCCGCTTTCACTGTTAAAAAAAAAAAGGTCATATAATGGAGTTTTCCTAAATAAATAAATAACGGAAAGAGAGAAAGAACGAACGAGGGGAGAGAGAGAGAGAGAGAGAAGAACTAAACATTTTGTACAGCAGGATAGAAAGAAATGTTTAAAAACTGTTTTTAAACATTTTATTTTTCTCTTCTTAATGAAAAAGTAGGCAGTAAATCCAGAAACAATATAAAAAAAAACTATCTATCTATGATATCTATATTAGTACTTTTATCTTTTGCTTTACTTTGTTTACATGTGTGTGTGTGTAGAGAGAGAGAGAGAGGAAGAGAGATAGACAGATACTGAGAGAGAGAGAAAGAGAGAGAGAGAGAGAGAGAGTGAGAAAGGGTAAGGTAAGAAAAGAGAGTATAGAAAGGTCGGCGTGTCTGACAATAATAGTAAGTAGGCTTAGCTATTAACTTAGATATGTATTATTACATATATATATATATATATATATATATAAAGAAGGAGAGAGAGAGAGATCGACGAGAGTAAGGTGGGAACGAAAAAGCGGCCTATCTGCAAAGTATATTATCAACTTATTCAAATTCACGAATCGGGCCGAAACATCAGGCAAATACTGGCTGACACACACGGAGTGATAGACAGGCACGCGCACACACACGAAGGCACACGCACGCACTCACTCTCGCGCTTTCTCTTTTCCACACATGCACACACGCACACACACACGCATATGCGCGCACGCACGCACACACACACACACACACACGCACACATGCACACAAAACTGACGAGTTAGGACTATAACTATATCATTTCATTAGAATTCCCCGATTTCGAATCAAAACAACACGGTCGGGAAAAGATTTTAAAAAAGACACAACGAAAATGACGCAATGAAATGTAAAAAGATTCATAAGGTTATTTAGACATAACAGAAACATTACAAATCTGTGTGTGGTAATTTAGGATTTCCTCTAGAAAATGTATATAAATAAATAAAACGACGATGTCCGTGTGCGGAGTATATTTTTGTTTGAAGGTGTACCTTAATGCTACTTCCAAGCATGTATATATTGCGGTGTGTGTATGTGTGTGTGTACACATGTGTGTATGTGCGTGCCCGTGTATGAATGTGTGCACGTGTGCGTGTGTGTACACCGTGTACAGTAGTGAGTACTTCAGCCGTGCGAGAAAGCGTATAACTCCGAGGTTTAACTGCGTGACTCCGTCTGTCTAACAGTGGCTTCCCACGTCTCCGTTGTTGTGGTCTCCTCCCCTTCATTGTGGCCTCCGCTTTCTCGCGCGTTTTTCTTATGCATCCTATTTCACCCACCTCTTCTGTACCCCTCCTCCCACGTCTCGGAGGCGGCAACCACGAAGTGCCACCGCTACTGTTGCTGTTACTCAAGGAGAACGGTTCTGGCAGTGGTGATGCTGATGGTGATGATGATTTGACGTGCTGGTAATGAAGTGGGAGAGAAGGTGAAGAAAGCCACCTCCAGCTGTTGTTTCGTTGGCGTTAAGCTCCGGTGCTCTGTTAAACACATGGCGTAGTAAGAGCCAGAGTCAGATCACTGATGTTAGAGAGACGTAGATCAGGCCGACACGCACACACACATACACACACGCATGCTTAAGTGTACGGGCATCTACTATGGTAAGTTGCAATTACTTACTATATGAATATATTGAGAGAGAAAGTCAGAAAAAAAGAGTGGAGAGAGAAAGATAGTAAAGAAGACCGAGGGGAGTCTTAGAAAAAGAAAGAGACAAGCATTGAATAAGACAGGAGAGAGAGAAACAAAAGAGATAGAGAAATAAAAAGATAAGATAGAGAGAAAGAGAGAGAGAGAGAGAGAGAGATAAGAAAGGTGATGCCTAGAAATCCATATGTGCGTCGGAATAGCAAAAGATGCGTTTAAAGAACGAAGAAACAAGAACATTTCATTAGAAACAAATGAAAGAGTGACGAACTGCTATGTATTATCAATCCTCCTGTGTGACAGTGAATGTTGGACAATTTCCTCTCAGACGATGAGAAATTTTTAGTCAAGAAAAATTTGATTCTGCAGAAGGATGCTGAGAATACCATGAACGGAACATATCAGCAATGATGAAGTTTAAAGGAAAATGAAAAAAAAAAAATTGTGCTTAGAATCAGAAAACGAAATTTCTGGGATGCATAATGAAGAAAGACGTCTTAGAGAATTTGGCACGAACAGGACGTTGAATACAAGAGGGATAGAGAGCGTGTAAATGAATGGAAATACAGAGACTGAGAGAGATAGCAAGGGGACAAATAATGCTTAGGGCTTCAAACGACAGGCAACATTGGAGGGCCAAGATCATTAACGTTTTGAAGGGACATGGCGCTTCAATCAAGAATTTCCAATCGTGTCAGAGGTCGGTGTTCGACCAAGGGAAAAGGCCAGAATTTTGAATGATCAGCTTGATCATCTCTCCTTTGGCAAAACAAAATCTTCCTTTTCATATGCCCACCCACTTTTCGGCCTCACGAACAAGAGAGGGGAGAGGAGATGTATTGTTTTCATACGTACAGATGTACAATCATGTACTCACTCGGAAACGTGTGTGTAGCGTAGAGGCGGCGCTGGCAGAAGGATTTGCGGAGACACGTGTATATAACCCAAGATTTGACACCGTAGAGGAGAGTGAGCAGCACGGTGATTTTGCGGACTTTTAATGTGGTGCCTTTACATATACGAACACACATAGAAACATACGCGCACGCATGTACACATACATATACACATACCTCCTATCATAGGGTCAAATAAAGGAATATCGACCAAAGTGACTCCGCACCTGAAAGAAGTAGCCATCACCAAAACCCGAAAAGAGAGACTGATGTCGGAGGAAAAAACACATTTATCTGAGAAAGGTAAAGTTCCAAATTATAAATATTTAGGCTAATTTCGTAACAACCTTTTACGGAAAATGGAAATCAGAAATCATATGCCAATTTTGTTTTGCTCATGCCTACACATACACAAAACTTATACACACACGCAAAATATATATATACGCATATATGCGCACACACAAAACACATAAATGCGTGCGCTGTCACATATCCATAAACAAATATATCACATAAGCAAATATATGCGCAAGCATAAAGTATAGATATATATATATATATTTTTCTTCTATGTACCGTGTACCTTCAATACATAGACAACCATGGTTCTCCACAACTTCCTGTCCTTTGTAGGTCTTTTAGATCTTTTTGGCTATATTATGGAGTGAAAGAAATTGAGAAGACTTTAGAAGGAATCGTAAAGCCAATCTTTGGTAGGGATTAAGGGATAAATCTCTATCCTGTTTAAAAGGCTGGAGGGGGAGAGGTCAATCGAACAATAGGTGAATCTATTTACTGATTCCCAGCTATGGGTAAATAGCGGGACAGACCGGGTTCTATAGCCTTGGATGGCAACCGGTCTACCGCAGAAAGAAATGAAGACACCTGCAGAAAAAATATCTGCTTCGTCAGTCATGTATCGAAAGATACATGATCGCCTAAGCGTGTATCACGCATGGCATATAACTGACTGATATAGTAATCTTATCCTTCTCCCTCCAGCTATGGGTAAATAGCAGGACAGACTGGGTTCTATAGGCTTGAATGGCAACCGGTCTACCGCAGAAAGAAATGGTAACCTATTGCAGGAAAAATCTGCCTCGTCAGTCATGTATCGAAAGATACATGATCGCCTACGCGTGTATCACGCATGGCAAATAACTGACTGACTATTTACTGATATTGAGGAATAAATAAATAAATGATTGGCAGAACAGGCATTAGGAGAGATATACTAAAAGCTATTAAAGCAGGTAGTTGTGGAGAGCCATGATCGCCCACGTTCTGAAAGGAAACGGCGCATAGAAGAAGAAGAAGAATTTAATTCTAAGAGTAATCCACTTGTTTTAATCCACGTGTTTTCAGTTATCCACGGTGCGTACCAGAAAGGAACATTTCATAATTTTTACTTAATAATCCCGAAGACATACGAAACGTTCTTTCTTTAAGTGAAAAGATGGAAATAATCGATTTATTAAGGAAAGAAAACAAAAATGTATGCTGAGGTTGCAAAGATCTATATTCAGGATTTGCTGGTTTGAAATCGCGCCAAGTTTACTAATTCTCCCCTCCCCTCTGAGACTGTGAATTGATTCAGTAAAAGTGTCCCCACGGAAAAGCTTGTGACGTCAATGGAGATTGTAACAAGGCTACGTTACCTTTACGAAATAGCTGACACCGCAGGAGTCGAAGATCCTTACTCCGTTCGTGACGTTCATCTGTTGACTTTCAACCGGAGTAGACAGGTTCGCCTCGGCCTTTTCAATAGGACTAGCTTGTTTTCTCTTAAGGATATAGTTTCCGGTTCCTTCTAAATTGTACTTCAACTCTCTATTTCTGTTGTCTCCGACTAAAGTCTGAAATTTATACTATTTATTTATTTATTACATATTATTTATAATATTTAATTTATAATATATATATATATATATATATATATATATATATATATATATATATATATATATATATACTAGTAGTAGAGCCCGGCGTTGCCGGGGATGTAACAGTAAGAGATAGATCAAGTATCGACCATCATAAAGACTGAAAATAAAATTGACAAAGATTATTGTTTAAGGTTGACGGACACGCATGTCTTAATTATTTTATTTTTTTTTTTTACGAATTGGTCAAACCCAAACTCAAACAAAAATATTGTTTTCAATCGTTATGAGTCTATCGATTGAATAGAATTTTATTAGAAACAATTGTTTTGTAAAAATAAAGAAAAAAGTGTGCAAGACAATAAGAAACACTACCTGCCAAAAAAAAGTGAAGTTTTGTTGAAATCGGTTGAAAAATGTAGGAAATCCGATCCCATATATAAACGAATAAACACACCCACAAACAACCTGGGTTTTATAAGTATAACTCGATATGAGTTGTCCCCCTTTCATTCTGGCGACAGAATTGTGTTTTATTGTGTTTTCAAATTGATTTCGTGCAAAAACAATTGTGTTTTTTCAATTTTTGGCGCTGTCAGAACCACCGCAAGGTAATTTTACGCAGTCCTGTGAAGTTTTGTTGAAATCGGTTGAATAATGTAGGAAATCCGATCCAATAAATAAACGTACAGACACACAGACACACACACACACACACACACAATCTGCGTTTATAATAAGTAAGATTATATATATTATATATATAAATTATAATATATTTCTGTCAATAAAAGGCAGGATATGTGTGTGTGTGTGTGTGTGTGTGTGCAACGAATGCACGGCCGCAATTTTCGACAGATTTGCACCAAAATTTACATGCACATGCTGCAAGTTAGCGGAAAGGCCAAGACCGACTTCGCATTTCCTAACTCCCATCGATAGTGGGAATAATCGATTTTTTCATGCTTCTCCGGCACTTTTCATTTAGTTTGCGGCCATTTTGTACTGGCCAGAGTGAGAGCCAATAGCTGGCTGGCACGAATGCTAACTAGCATGCTAGCATGCAAAAAAAAAAAAAAATCGAAAGCTGCATTCGTCAGAAGTGGTAAAAATTTAAATCTGCATAGCACTTTACTCCAATTGGCTCATTCGCTTGCTTACACTCAACCTTGATTCTGATTCCGCAAAACTGGGTTGGGTGTGAAAAAGTATTTGTTGTTAACATTCTTTTATCATTCGGTTTTTCCAGTTACGAGTCCTTTTTTAAAGTTGATCGTTTTGTGTTCATTTTTGTTTAGTTCTTTTTTCGTAACAGATTTAATGTTTAGTGTAGAGCTTAGAAAAATTCACTGTGTGTTGATAGGCAAGAAGTAAATCATGTAGCAACATCAGCACGGCAAAGGGCACTCCTTTAAAGGCAAGGAAGAGCAAAAATATTTTAAGTCAAGTTTAGTGATTGCTGTATGAGTCGTACGATTTTTGAATCAAGCACGGGCAACGCCGGGCCATGCCGTTAATAAATTATATATATGTAATATATTATGATACATTATACAATATATTATATTATATATAATATTTAATTTATAATATTTATACATAATTTATACTTTTCACCTATACTATTCACCTATTGTTCGATTGACCCTCCCTTCCAGCCTTTTGAACAGGATTAGAGATTTATCCCTTAATCCCTACCAAAGGTTGGGTTTACGATTCCTTCTAAAGTCTTCTCAATCTCTTTCACTCCAGAATATAGCAAAAAAAATCTAAAAGACCTACAAAGGACAGGAAGTTGTGGAGAACCATGGTTGTCCATGCATTGAAGGTACACGGTACATAGAAGAAGAATATATATGTATATCTATACTTTATGCTTGTGCATATATTTGCTTATGTGATATATTTGTTTATGGGTATTTATGTGAGAGCGCAGGCATTTATGTG